ATATTTCTGCCACCATCACATCATTATATTACTAGATAGAACTACTGTTGCTCTTGCTGTTAATCTCTTACTCAGTACATGCATAATCAGCATGGGTCTAATGACTTGTATTTGTAGCTAGATCAGTGGCCATAGGCACTGGCATATGGACTGTATGTTTCCTGAACTGTGCACTTTATTAGGCAGAGCTCATTACCAAAGGAGAAATGCTTCAGCCCTGCTGGGTGGGCAGGGATCCTGTTCTGGTTTCCTGGGACCAGATTCCTATTCCAGGCACCTTGCATCTAGAGACCAACACAGGATTTAGATTGTGAATGACTTCATTTATCCTTTGAGTAAATAAAGTTCCACAGTCTAAAACTCGCATTACTGACTCTGGGTTTTTCTCCCCTGAAAAAAATAGCAAGGGAAGGAATTCACTGTGCTCAGACCCATTGATTGGACTGAAATGCAGCTCAGCTTACACTGCAGCACCATCTCCTCAGGTCCATTAGACTTGTTAAGTGCCATCTGAAGGTCTGCTCAGGAACACTGATAGCAGAAGCCTTTACAACAGTCTGGTCCCATTAAAAATAACTGAAAAAGATTTTGCAGACTAGGAAAAAAAAAAAAGTAGGGATATGAATGAAATAAACTCTGACTTGTCTGACAGTAACTTAGTAATTCTAAAGAATAAGAATTTATCTGAAAATTATTCTCCACTGTTCCCCCAAAATCTGACTCAAACATTTATTAGCTAAATAACTGCTTTAGATTTAGTGTTTTGTCCTGAAGATCTGAGAAAATTTAGACTTTGTGGTTTTTTTGGCCCCTCCAACCCTGTACAGCCTAATTCAGTCCAATAATCTTCAAAATACTTTTACGTAACTCTTAATTTACCACACAGTAAGCTATATTTTCATGTAAAATTTGTTTAATTTTCCTGTTAATAAAACCATTTAAAGCAACATTCAGTAATGTAGTGAAAACAGGTCTACAGTTTGACTTCTTGTAACACAAGTTACCAATCGTCATGCGGAGAGGGAAAAACAGTACAGTAAAGCAAATGCCTGATCAGGAGGAATACATCTAAAATTCAACAAGCAGAGTATCACTTCTACAAAGCACATCCATCCATAATTCTTCAAATGACTGTAAAGAATTAATAAATTTTTAAAATGCAGTTTCAGCTTTTTAAGAAGGAGTTAGTGAGGCACCTTGCCACTATGCTGCAACCCTTTTGCTGCTTGGTGCCTGCAGACACATTTTTCTGTCCGATTTCATGCTTTGCTCTTCTCCCTCACTTCAGCAGACCACCAGACAACAACCACAGGCACAATGGGGAAATGTTCCTATGATGTGGTTTCTGAAATTTGTCTGTTTTTCTTTTCTTGGCAAAAGCATATTAATTTTGAGCTCTGCGCCAGTCCTGTTCCCACTAAATGATAGCTGTGTGAATACATGGGAGTGCTGAATTTGGCTTTTTGTGTTTAGCTAGTTTCACAATGACTTCTTCTGGCTCAGCGCTCATTCTGGCAAATAAATTCAAATTCTAGTTAGTAGGGTTGCCACTTAGCAAATAAGCAATTTTTTTATCAGCAAATAGATTTATTCCCGCTACTTTGATTTTCTTTTCTTTTTCTCTGACATTTAAAATCAAATCCTCATTTTTAAGAACCCTCTAGAGTTTACACTAGATTAAATTTTCAGGTGTAAGTAAGCTGTTGTTCAACCTCAACAGGGCTCAGTCGTGCCTGGCGCCTACTGTAAGCAGTTTAAAAAGTTACTGGCATGATAAGAACAGTCTTTCAAAAGGAAAAAAAAATAGTACAATAATAATAATAATATTTCTAAACATATCCTTTACAGAATGCAGACACTGACAGTTGTACAAAGGCTATATGATAAAAATGCTTGGGAGGTCTTTTCTGCAGCCTTGCTAACAGGTCCCAGGGCAGATGCACTGGTGGCACTCCACTGCCACCAGCCTCCAGGTAAACACAATCCTCTAACTACTCTTTGTCCTTTGAGCACAACCATCCAACTGCTTTTTAACCAATTATCTGTCCACCCATCCACAGTGCAATGACTCTAACTTAGTTCCAAGAATTTTGAAGGAGACTCTGTTGGAAGCCTTGCTAAAGTCAAGGTAAATGACACCCACTGCTATCAGATTGGTAAGGTGTGATTGATCATTCCCTGGAAAATCCATGCTGTCTGTTGCCAAGCTCTTATTTCTTCACCTGCCCCCAAAATATCCTTCAAGAGGACATGTTCCATGGTTTTCCCTGCAATCAGTGTTCTGGAAACTACTCAAACTAGTAGAAATTTTTCCAACCTCTATGTAAAATAAATTGTATTGCATGTCCTTCTCTACTGCTAGACCGATTTGAAATCTTCAGAGTGGATACCACATTTAATTAATCACTGAACTTCATTTTAAGTTGGTGTCTTCAAGAGCCCCATTCATTAAATTCTACTTCTTTCATAATATCTTTTGTCCATTGTTTGACAGCAGAATTTAAGGCTTAGTTTATAAAATCCCCATCCAAGCTGCCAAAATCTATAGGTGAAGGAAGCTTTTATCCGGAAGATAAATGATAACCATAATTAATTCATTTGAATTCAGTATAGAATAATGCTTTTAATTTATTATTCGAGTGATATATTTATTTGCACACTCTTAATTGTCTGTTTTTAAAGAAACCTGAGTTATGGTTTTAAAGGTTAAACACAAAAAAAGTTAGAAAATATATTGCTTTGTGTATTAAAACTGTATTTGGGGTATATGCCCATTCCTAGTATATGAGTGCCTACTAAGATGCTCAAAAGCTGGTTTTGCAAGAAAAGTTCACTTGTAATTTCCAAATTCTGACTCAGAAAGTACATATTTTTTTTAGCATATTGCTTCTTGCTTTCTCCTATTATTTTTATTCTGTGACTGTAAACTGACAGGGACTGTTCTTTCTGTGGTTAGATAGCACCTGGTCAATGCAGCTCTGGTGAGTGACTGAGACTCCTGGCAACAGTGAAAGGATCTGCAACATCCATCTAGTTGCTAAGTTCTGAGACACTTCTAGATTATGTGTCACTGCTCAAAACGATTTTGCCATAGCTGTATTTCCTTCCTTCCCTTCTCCATACCCATGTAGCTTAATATGATGAAATGGGGGTTACAGTTGCCTGGTTTGTGTGGGAGACAATTAACAAGAACTGAGCTTTTCTTCTCTTTGTGCTCTTGCTCTGCATATCATGCTTCAGGGAAACACAAAATTTGGGGGTACTGCAGCAGATTTGGAGATAGAGCTAATTCCAGTCCTAACTGTGTATTTTGGCATTCCATTAGAAGAATAACTGTTTTTTGCTTTGGCTTCTGAATCAGCCCAGCCACAGAGTTCCACAGTCTGTGAATATTTCAGCTTGCTTGTCTTTACTTGTGGTTCATGAGTTAATGAAGGTCAAAGTATGAGGCATTTACATCTCAGCAGAAACTTACCAGAATTTAACAGGACAAAGAAATATTTCATCAACTATAAGTAGTACTCCTCTCAAAAATTCTCCTGCAAATATAGTATATATATATATATATATATATTATAAGTGTCTTGTAGAAAAATTTGAAAGAATGCTATTAATGCAAAGTGTATAAAAGCTGATATTTAGCAGAGTTTCAAGTTAGTAAAAGGACTGTAACTTTTAATTACATCTCTGTAGGCTATCTGCAGAGCTATTAGCCAACAAAAATGAGGATATGCTTTAAGAACTGTGTCCAGTTTTCCACTCCACGATTCAAAAAAAGACATGCACAGACTAGAGAGGGTCCAGATGAGTGCCACAGAGATGATTCAGTTGCTGGAGAACCAGACTTACACAGAAAACTGAAGTAATTAGGCTTTTCCTCTCATGAGAAGACTCATGTGACCTCATCACAATTTTCTAGTACTTAAAGGGCAGTTAAAAAGCAGACAGAAGGTCACTTCAAAAGGACACACATGAAGAGGACAAGGGACAGTGGGCTCAAGCTCCTTAAGGACAGGTTTCATCTTGAAATAAGATACAGATTTTTCACAGTGAGAAGAATCAGCCATTGGAACGATCTCCCAGTTATGTGATAGTCTCCATCAGTGTAGGTTTTTAAGATAACACTGGACAGGGTGCTAGATAATGTCATTAGGGCTCCCTTTCACATGAAAGTTTGAACCAGATGAACTTCCTATCTTTTCCAACTTAGGCTGTTCTCTTATTCTATGCCCCATTTACTACTTTTTGTTAGCATTTGGACATGCATTATTAATCAGTTTACTTTTGCTGGGGGCTTTTTGTTTGGCTGCTTTTTGTTTTGTTGTGGGGGGTGAGTGTTTTGTTGGAGTTTTTTGTTCTGGTTTTCTTTTTTGTTTTTAATACAGGAATTCCATCCAAGCCTGAAATTTAGAAGCAGATGGGACAATTTACCATTTGCTTGCCTGAACAAGATAACATCAGAGATCTCTTCAAAATGCTTTATTATCTCCTTTGTCTCATCCTCCTTACAATTCTCCTGGAATCTAAACCAGATTTGATAAATTACTTGAGGATTTGGTTTTGACATGAACAACTGTCTTCTGCTGTGGCTCAAATTCATAGCATGGAACAAATGGCTTATCTGCCTCACACTACTATTCTTCGTCTGTCTGAAACAGAAAAATTATAAGTATTGCAGTGACCTCTTTTTTCCATGATGAAGGATCATGCTGACGTTTTTTAATAAACTAAATTACTTTGAACATCTAAGTTGGCAGAGATAAGAAATTCGAAAAAAAATTCTACAGTTGAGAAATTGCAGTAAAATGAGAGGAAAGGATTATAAATATCAACCAACAAAATGTAATTTGTGGCTCAGCTTGCATAGATTTTATACTACCTTCATTTGACGTAACTTTAAAGCACAAATCCAGCACATAAACCCCAAGGATTTAAAAACACATGAAATTCAGAAAAAAATAAAATACTCCAGAGGATATTCTGATTTATTCTTAAAGGTTGGAAAAATTGCATCTTGAGGTCAGAAGTAACTGTGAAAAAAAAAAAATTACAGAGAAAAGATCTTATGTAACTTATGCCAAGAACTCACAGATACTCAGGTATGCATAGTTAGGATATATGTGCCAAGAAGAAAATTCAAAGTTCCAAGATATGCAAAGTAATTTCTTTAATAGCTCATTAAAAACATTAATACATCATGCCCACCTTGCTACACAAATTTACCAGTCAAATATTGAAATCTGAATAGGACAATTTGGCTAATAGATCGAGAATTTTTAAACTACTTTCAAGAAGTAGAAAAACATTGTAAGTTAAGAAATTCAGTAAAGAGTAACAGAAGTGGTCAGAATGTTGGGACTAATTTTAGGTACAATTAAGTGTTGAATACCTCAAACATGGCAAGGAGTTGAAGGAAGACTGAAGGACAACATAACCAGTTACAGATATTTCTTTAAAAATGTTAACATTAATATGATATGGATGAAATAAACCAGGAAACAATTAGGTAAATATAAGTAAAAATTAGGAGTAAGCATTTTATAGTTTTCTTTATGAAAAATAAAGGAAATTGCATATCATAGGAATATTTGGTATGTGAAGCATCACTGTAAAAGTGCAGATGTATTGTATGATGCAGTTCGCCACTTTCTTATTAAAAAAGGAGGCTTTTTTGTGGAAAGGGAGCAAAAATTCATAATATTGCAATCACAGAAAAAGTATATTTCTAATAGATCAAGAAACAAATCAAGAAAGAGTTTCTCACTGCTGCTGTAGCTACCACTGACTATAACAGTGAACAAGTGTTTTCAAGAATGAGGGTAAGCCGTGGCATTCCCCTGAATTCCTGGATAAGGTTGCTACAGAAAGAAATTCTGACCAACACAGCCACGGTCTCACGGCCAGTACCAAAACCTCCCAGAAATTACTGGAGTCTTTCCAAGGATTTAAATAGACTCTGACATTCTGCTATAGTGAAATGAACTTATGGCTAGCACCCAAAGTTCAAGAAAGCCCAGAGGACAAGGTCCTAGTCTTTCTATGCCTAACAAGGGGAAAGAAGAAAAGAAAAGAAAAAAAAGGAAAGAACAGTAAGGGAGGAGGGCAGGCAGGAGAATGGTGGAGGCATAAATGAGAATAGCAACTCTGGGCTATGTACCTCTTGGATAAACTGATAGGGAAAAGAGATGATCAAAGGAAGCTGGTTTAAAGAAGAGGGAGGAAGAAGAACCTGGCAGAGGGACATGAATAACACAGTTGGCAGACTCTTCATGGACCTGCAAGGATTCAATATCCTCCAAGTACCTCTTCCACTTTCCTATTCCTATTGCAAATTCCAAGAAAACTTAAAGCAAAAAAGCAAAGAAGACAAAGAGGAAAGCTTTTCTGTTGGTGGCAAGAAGTAAGTATGCTAGTTATGAGAAAAAGAGAGAATGCAAATCACAGACTAACAAAATACAGATTCTCAGATTCTTGCATTCATAAGTTAACACTGGAGAGAAGGTTTTAGTTTAGATAAACACTTTGTGGTTAAAGAGAAAGACATATAATCCAAAAAGATGATTAGCTATGGGCATGATAAAAACGGTCCTATATTACTCATGAGCATGCATGAAGCAGAATGGGTGGCCTTAGAAAGGGATTATGGGAAGAGATGGAGAAAAAACAGAGCAGCCACCTCAAAAAACTGATGAAATCCATAACAGCAATAAGCTTGTATTAAAAATATTTTAACCTAAGACTGCACAAAGAGAGCCTTAAAATTTTTCATCCTGGGAGATGGTGAGCAGACCAGCTTTACCTATTGATGAAGGCACAGTTCCTCACTGAGGCATGGGTCATGGTCCAGGTGGCAGGTGCTTCTCAGAGCTTTCACCAGCAGTGACTTGAGTGGAAGGGTTTTGCCTCTCTTCCCCTGCCAGGCAGTCCAAGCATTAATATTTATTCAAATGGGATAAACAGTAGAAACAATTTTTGGAAGAAATAGAAATTCAGTTTATTAAGACTATGGAAACTCAATGCCAGATATTTAAAAGTATAATCAAGCACTTAGGTCCAGCCATAACATTTAGATTCTATTTAATCCTAATGTATTTTTGTAACTGATTTTTGATGAATCAGCCTCTTAAAAATTTTTACATAAACTGTTCTTTGGATTTATATGCAAGTACTATCCTTTGTAAACTGAAATGTTGGCATATATTCCTACCACAGTTTACAAGTAGCCCAACTATTTACCCATCAGATTATTCCTAGATTTTTGATGGTAAATAGCATCCAAAGAAAGGAAAGTGCTACCTTTTGGTATACTGCTACAATAAACCCGTAGAGATCACAAAAATTCCCTCTGTTAACATTCTTGCAAGAAAGCTAATCTGAATCTGATGGGTTAGCTCAATTTTGTCCTGATTGCTTGACATATGCATCAAGAACAGTTTGGGAAATTATACATGAGCTACTTCAAAGACTGCTAGAGTCTGTCAAAAGGCATGCCATCTTACAATGTTCTTAGCTGACCAAAATGGTATTCTTACCTCTAGCTGAAGTGAGACACCTGAATAGCACAAAATTCAAAACAGGCCACAAAGCAATAGCTTAAAGACTTGTGGATCTTCCGTACCAGATCTGCTGTAGAAAAAGGGAAAGAACCTTTCATTTCCTTATGCACCCTGCCTGCTACAGCAATGTGTGCATTTTAAATTTCTCAAGACACTTGCTTCTGCCTACTCCTATAGAAGCTTCCACACTTACATGTTTGCCTTTGTGCTATAGATATCATACAGATATTACTGTCCAGTAAACTGGAGTGGTCAAAAGAGTCAGAGAAGTTACAGAAAACAAAAGTCACAGTCTGAGTTAACAGAATAAGCAGTGAAACAATTATTTGGCATAGCTAGCTTAAAATATAGTGAAGGGCCCAAAAAATGGCCTGTCAGAGCAAAAAGTCTCTAACCTTTTAAGAGGAGCAGAGATTCAAACTTTATCTTGCATCACCTCAGATTTCCAAGAGATCTTCCCACACTCTACATTGCGGGTGACAGTGAAAGCTGTAACTTCTGTGAAACTTTGATAATATTCATTCTGCATTTTGGTGCAGTCTATAATTACAAGCTCCTAAAGAGGTTTTCGGGGCTACTTAACTTCATTTATGTATTTCTCACAGTAAACCCTGTGAGTAAAATACCCTGCTTAGCATACAGAAATATATAAAACCCCTCCAACAACACGTTGTTACATCAGGCACCACACCGCAGGTCTAACATCATGTCACACAATTTTTAGCTAGTACATTCTTTATGAACACCCTCGAATATCATATTTGAAATGCAAACACATATGATAAGATATAATGAAATAATTTACTATGCATCTATCTATATATGTATATAGATATCTATATAGACATAAAACATAATGTAACAAAAAGACAGAGCAATATTTTATTTTTCTCATCAGCCAATTAAATTTTGCTCAAACGGGCACTATACATAGTTAGGATTCAAGGAGTGAGACATTTTGAAGAGTTCAGACAAAGCTCTATACAGTACTGAAATGTAGATAACAAATGTAACAAGGTTTACCTAGGGACACTTTAAGCTCATTGCCACGTATGTTCTTTAAATGTACTTTGTCCCTTGGTGGTGCAGAAGCAAATTAACAACAAGGGAAATCTACTAAGGAAAACAGAAGGTGTACATTAATTTCACACCTAATTATTAACTAATTTTCTCAGGCTCTGCCAGAATAATCAGCACTTGAACAGCTTCACTTGTTCCCAATGAGCCTCTGCAGTGCCTGTGTTTAAAATTCCAGGGGGGGACAGTTACAGCAGGATGAATAATAATGATTGCAGGGAGCCTGAGTCTGGGCCTGGCTTGGGCACTCTTTCCATGGGGCTGGCACCACATCCCTTCATAGTACCAAGAATGACTAGGACACTAATGCTAGTGCAGATAGATGTAATTTCTTTCTGATAGCTGTGCTACACTAGCATAAAACTGAAGGGGAGGATGATACAAGTGAAGTAGCTCCACTGGTTTTGTGTTGCTATAAAATTGTAACAGGATTAAGACAAAGTCTGTGTTATTCACACTGGAAAAATTATTCAGGACAAATTAATTTGCATGAAGTATTATGAACGAAGGCTTTGGTGCTCTGATACAAACAATATGTAGTGTTGGGAGATGACAGGTTCAGCTAACAATAAATGATATACAAATCATCTTTGACAGACAGATGATGTGAAAGGCTGACAGAATTTTTTCTACATGCTGTCTCTTTTGTAGATAAAACTTCTAAACATACAGCACACTTAATCAGTTCCTTATATGTTTGATCCAGGTTGCCCTTCACTGCCTTCTGTACCCCATGCAGACTTTAATTTGCTGAAACATCTGTCTGATAAAAAGTCTTACATTTATACAAAATAAGTGAAAATTTGAAAAAACCATTATGCTTATATAAAGATACAAACATCTTCTACATCCTATTCTTATTATGTTATTCTAGGTAGCAGAAATTGATATATAACCTGTCATTGACCTAGAAAAAGAAGCACATGTGAAAAATGGAAGACATTTAGGACCAGATTCAGAAGGTCTGAAACTGAAAATTAGGGTGCAGCCTCCTATTTGGCTCTGAAAACCCCCAATGCCTACACAACTCTTTACACTTCAGTCTCACAGTGCCCACTGACAGTATCTAACTTAGCTCCAGAAACTGCAAACTCAAAACAAACCTGCTCCTAGGAGAATTTTTTAGTGTCTGAGAAGCAGGCTAGGCTGAGCAGGGCTTTCTTCTTCTGCTGAAGATTTGTGAAGGAGGTCACAATTTGCCAAAGAGGGAGGGAAAGACAACAAATGGAAACTTGTCTCTGCAGAGACACTTGGGTAGGAATGAGTTGTAGGACTGTCTCTATTGTCAGGACTCATCCATTTTATATTAAACAGCGACTGGACTTCATTAAAAAAAAAAGTACCAACACTCCCACATTAGTACTTAACCACAGTGCTACAGTCAAGCTTCATCACTGTGTTAAGATTTCAAGGAATTGCGGTGTCATGGTTAACATGCAAAAAAAAATCTACATGGGGTAAATACCAAAAAGAATAAATGGTTCTGATCTGCAAAGTCAGATTCTTGGCATCCATTGCCTTCAGAAACAATTGAGAATGTGCAATGACACTCAGGAGTGATCTTGAGGCAACCTCTGAGGCAAAGCATTACAAATATAAACTAATTTTCAAAGACAAGTGCAAAAACCATAAAATCCTAGCAGAGCTTATTTACTGTTTTATACCAAGATCTATGCTTCCATAAGACTTTATGGAATTGCACCTAATTTACCATGGATTATTTCTTGAATAAAAACTAGGAAGAAAGGGAATAATAATTTCCCTATAATTTTATATTATTTTCATCACAGTAGGTAACCTACCTATAATAAAAATCCGCCAACTCTGTTTTGTAATACTATGTTTATTGTATTGAGTTATATGCAATATAATACACATCAATACCATATGGTGCATAAGCAGTAACATAAAGAGTATGAAACACAATGGCATTACAATTATTCAGTGCTATAAACACTATAAAGCATCAAAGCTAGCAAAATTAATCTAAAAAATAAGCAGAAATGTATTTTTTAAGTGTTCTGAGAGCTTTGAGAACTACTCATCTGTGAGTAAATCCTCCTTCCTCCTTAAAACAGGTTGAATGGTATATTTTGATAGATCCATCAGCATAAATCAAATAAATCAACATCCACATGGATTCTTTCTTCCAGCTACTGCATTATCCTCCAGTGCAAGCCCAGGAACCTCAGTTAAGCAGAAAAGAGTGCACCAAAAGGGAATCTAGTTTTAAAATAATAATTATCACATTCTTAGCATACTTTGCATGCTACAGGAGTGCTCCAAGGATTCCAAGTAGAATAATCAATCTCCAGTCAAATCACAAGTTCACAAAACCCATCTGACAGATGACAAAGGGATGAAGTTTACACTCAGCCTTATCAAAATGGAATATGCTCCCACTTGTTTTGACTGTAAAGCCAGGTAAATGAATTTCCAACCCCCATCTTTACTCCAGAATCACGTTACTTTTAGTCCAGAATCACAGTTTTTTCCACCACAGCAGCACTGCCGTTCACACTGCAGGTCTGGTATAGTAAACAAGACCACTGACAAGTTGGAAAAAACATACCTTCTGAATCAAGAGACCTGAGTCTCATCTTGTGTATTCCAATAAACTTCTAACCCAGGGGAACAGGGGCTCAGTGTGTGTTTGCTCTGGCTGTTGCCCAGACAGGTGTGTAAGTACAATTGCCTAGATGGAGAAGGTGATTCCCCAAAAAAAAAAAGAATTGAAAAGATGTATTTTCTGAACTGAAGAGCAGAGAAGGGATCTGGACAGGCTGGATTGATGGACCAAAGCCAGTTGTCTGAGGTTCAACAAGGCCAAGTGCCAAGCTGTGCCTTTGGGTCACAACAACCCAGCTTTACAAGCTGTATGATAAAATATGAATTTCAAAATTTGTAAGAATCCATGAGCATGAGTGTATCAAGATATAGAAGTGTTTGTCTTATTCCTCAGTGAAAAGAGTTGGACTGACAAAATCCTGTCTCTATTGGAATTTCATCTCACATCACGAGGGCACTAAAAAATACCAGTGAAAATATTAAATATTCTTCTTATTATTTAGAGATTATTTTTCATGTCAGAGAAATTGGTATTTGCAGATTTACTGAATCAAATTTGTTCTTAACACTAAAATTCACTGGAATTATATAGAGATGAGGGTGGCATATTGACTTCAATAATGCAAAACTATAACACTTTTTTTTCCAAAGACATTAGATTCATTATCTTAAGGAGTGTGTGTTACTAATTAGATTCCATTGCACAACAGATTACATAATAACCTTAAAACAATTTTTTATTAAAAGACCATGTTTTGTGTATTAAGGCATTCAGGACTGGTGTTATCCTTCATCCATCTTCCTTTATTTAAGACACTGTATTCATTCAGAAAATATCCAAAAATCCTTCTCAGATGTAATATTCTGTTAGGATCACAGACATTATATAAGCAAAATAAAAGAAAAAGTAAAACCAAGTGTTTTCTAGAATTTAAATAAACAGTGTTGTTACCAAGCAATGCTTTTACTATTTCTTTAAAACATCACTTTAAGGAGGAGGTCACAGTTTGCTAGGACACAGAATATTTGAAAAACAAAGCACACAGTTCATGTTGCTGTAAGTACATAAAGGAATAAAGCATGGCAAAGAATGGGCCAAATTCTGTCTTCCTGGGCCTGTCTTTCAAAGAGTACAGCTTCAAACAAGCAGCAAAGAGTATGATTTGCTTACTTTTCAAACATTTTACAACATTCCAAAAATGAACAGAACAAAGTTATCTGTGCGTCACATCTGGCTAGATTAATCTGTACTTGTAGAAAAGACTCTTAAAAGAAGATCATAACTTATATTAACAAGAGAATATAAAACAACAGCTTACATAGCAAATGTTTCCAGTATTTGACTCCCTGCAAATATTAAGATTACAGACAGCACTTGGTTGATGATGCAGGAAGGAAACTGTATTGTATTTGACACTGGG